AGTATGACCACGAGATTACCCAGGGATGTTCTCCCCCGTTTTGGGAACAAAGTCTGAAGCTGCATGCCCAGCTGATGCAGCATTTCTCCTGCAGCATCATTCTCTGTGCTTCTCTCCTAGTGTCTGCTAAGGCTTGGCTGTTATCCTCATCCATTTTTCTTAGAGGTGATCCCATCTCCTTTATGCCTTTCACTTGTATCTCCGACTAGCTCTTTTTCCTTGGCCATTAATGTATCTGCAACTTCCCTGAGGACTGAGTTCTCAGATAAAACTCAGTAATGTACCTGGTGAGCCAGTGTAGTGAGCAGGTGGCATGCTCTGTCTGCTCTACCTAAATAACCCCTTGCATGAGCCTGCAGTAAACTCTCCTTCAGTTGCTGTTGCAGATAACGCTACACATCCGTGGCGTGAGTGCTTTAAAGGGAGAAGTCACTTACACTTATGTGTAATAGTACATTGCCCAGAACACCAAAGTTGTGACCACAGTCCTTACTGCTCACTATTTGGTACATAAATCAGTAAAAATCTTTCTTCCATGTACCAAGATGTTTATCCTTGATGCCTCTTTTTCCCTTCTGCACTAAGGCTTTCACTAACCAGCCCATGCTTCCTTTGTAGTTATTATCTTTCCCTTCTACGTTCAAGCCACAGCATTTCCCTCTTCAAATAACACAATTTCATTCTTCTCCCTTATGGCTCCCAGCTCTAATATTGCTTATGCTGTCTGGTGCAAGTAAGTGCATGTGAAAGTATCTTCACTGCCTGTTTTCTTACCATTTCAATCTCCTCAGCCATCACACTGCTTCCATCCTTTTGCATCCGCTCTGAGCTCTTCATCCTTCGCAAAACTTCACCACCTTTCTTAATATCCAATAAAACTCTGCCCCCGTTTGCATCCTGTCTCTTGAAGCCTTCTCTCCTCCCTGGCTTACACACTCCCCTGTGCTATCTTTGTCATGCTTCTGGTTTTTTTCCTCCTAAAGATAATCAATGCCTTTCTCATCCCCATTCACTGCTGGTTCTGTCCCACCTCAGTAAGACTAGTCTGAAACTCACCCACCAAAATTACTTCTTCTCCACTGGCCCTTCTGGCTGGAATGACCCCATCCACTCTAGCATCCTTATCTATGCTGAGAACCTACACACTCCCTGCTAAAATCATTCATCTTCGTGATTTGTTACTTACCATATGGAGTGAATTCCTGCCTAAACAATTGCTTTCTCAGAGTTTTTACTTCATTGGTATTTTACTTCTTTCTCTCAGGTACTTCACAGAAATGACCTACAATCACAATCTCTGAAAAACCAAGCACATATAACTGTCCTGTGCTGCCGTCCCCCCTAACAGGAATGCATCCACCGTCTCACCTTTCCTTGATGCCGAGATGATGACATGACTGTGCTTAGCTGCTGCCAGTCTTTAATTCAACTGAGCTGTAGCTTCCAGTGCAGCCTGAGCAACCTGACAGTTGCCAGTTCCCGTATTTTAGGCCCCCATCTTTCATTTTTCCTTAGCATCTGCATCCTATGCATTTCATATGTCATGGTGCTACTGCCTCTCTACCATGTATCAGATGAACTTTGCCAGCTGTTTGGTAATCCCCTGACCCGCTTCATCTGCCACATAAGGGATTGGAGAGAAAATAAGGAAGCATGTGGGAGAATTTGCTGTCTCACCAGAAGCAGTAGTCTAGTGCAGCAGAACCTCATCTCTCATGTGGTCCAGTATGGTCTGAAGCCTGATGGTAACTCATGCACGTTCATCGCCTGACCTCACGCATGCCCTTGTCACACGGTCAGAGGTGCCAGTCTCGCACGTGGCAATTGTGAGAGGTCGTCACTGAGATATGGACAGCGTGCACAGGGAGCAGGATCTGTTCATAAGGGTCTGTGTGTGAGGTTTTGGTAAAAGATTTAATCTGTGTTCAAATGAAACACTATTCTTTTTTTTTTTTTTGTCTCCCTGGGCACCTAATGAGAGCACGCAACCTGTAATTTATACTTCACCAAGAATTTAGGACATCTACAGAGGTTAGTGTAAGTATTACAGTAACTTGAGAAGGATTAATTGAGGATGCACGCCATTTTGTGAGGTGTTAGGTCCTGATTAAATGCTTTTTACTGTGTAGTCACATTTTATTACAACTTACATATGTTTGGAACACTGATAGAAAAGAAAGCGTGTCACCTATTTACAATCACTACACATTTACATTATATTATTTACAGATAATGAATTTAGTAATATATATGAGCAGAAAATATAGCAAATATCAATATGAAACTGTACAGGGCTTAATCTCACGTCCTTTACTGTGGTTGCATTTCACTGTAATAATAAATACAGTTCTATATTTACACATTTTACTTTAAAAATCTATTAAATGAATTTTAACAATTTCAAGTTTAAAATATCTGATCAAAATATTTCAAACATGCTTATAAAAATAAGACACAAAGCCTTTAGGACTTTCTGCAAGCTAAAAAAGTTCTGATAAAAGAAGCTTTCTTTAACTAGTCTTTAGAATTATAACATTATTTTGCTTCTCAAATCACTTTACAAACTTCTTAAATATAGCGAGCTGAAAGGAATTTCACTGACATTAAGCAGTGCAGCACAGATGGACCCCAGTTAAATTAAAGCTAAGTAAACATAGTAATAGGTATTGTGCAATGGTTGACTGATCCTCTGTTTGATTCAAAGTGGTTTCAGACATCATTCTCCAGCTGTATGCTGCACTGCTTCAAAAGCCACAAGAGATAAAGGATTAAGATAAGTACTCAGCTGACTTTATCATACAAAATTTTGGCATTGGTTAATTTTTTTTTTCCTGAAGGATGAACATGTCAGCCAAAGTCAACTGATGCCATCTGTAACTGCAAAACTAAAAATATGCCAGTGTGAATGGACAAGAAAATCAAGGCATATCCATTGTTGGCAACAAGTTCTTCATTATGAAAATCTGTCCTTTGAGTCCCAGGAAGTTTTATATACAGTAACAGATGAACAACAGAGATCATCTGTAACTGATTACCTTAATTACTGGGCTAGCCTAACCTTGGTAATGCTAAAAATTCACCTGGAGGTTGAGTGGCCATTAACTGTGCAGTGAGTACTGGGCTATTAAATGTTACTCCTCAGGGAGCTATTTTTAACAACAAAAAAAAGTAAATTTGTGCACTTTCGTGTCTTAAATGATCAGCTCACTTGAGCAAAAGGTGCCAGCTCTCAGAAAAGAATACTGGAATATCTCCTGATGGCTTGGCCAAGGTCAAAGACTGATATTCTAGGGAAGTGAAGGTGGCTCTGTTGTCTGAGATACTTTGACAGTAGACTTGGCAAAGACCTGAAGTATCTTCTCTCTAACTGGGATGCTTCTGATGTGTAAACATACATGCCTTGATTCAGCAAACTATTAACAGATTTAAAGCCAGAGGGAAACTCTGTGTTGAACTAATCTAACCTTTTCCTAAACTAAAGCCATCAGAAGTCCCTGAATTCCAATAGCTCCTCCAATACCTTTTTTGGCAGTATCTTCAATTTGAATTTAGAGATTTTTGGTGACATATAGTTCCACTAGTTAATGACCATCACTGTCAACAATTTGCACCTTTATTTCTATGCTGTATATCCCTAATGTCAACTTCCAGTTGATCTTACACGATTCTTCCCCTCTTGAATGAGCAGTCCTCTGCTCTCAAACTTGTTTCCCAAAAGTAGCTACTTACAAACTGTGATCAAATCACTTCTCTCTTAAGCTGCTTTAAATTTATGGTATTCATACCCTTTTCAGTTTCACAATGTTCTTTACAGCATGTGAATGCAAGAATTGTTTGAAATATTCCAGTAGTGCTTGCAACAGCACTAAGAACATAGACGATACAACCTCTTCACTCCTACTTGATATTGTCTTGGCTAAGGATATTGGCTATCCTTAGCCAAAAGGACACAGTGGCCTCTAAATCTTCAACTGACTAGTGACCATGAACTAGAAGCTTTCTAGAATCACTTTCACAGGACAGAGATCATGCCATGAGCAGGACTACAGTTTTTGTTCCTAGACAAATTACGTTAAATGAGTGTTTCTATGTGAGTGCCTTTGGTGTCCTTTAATTGCCCTCAGCATGCCAGTCTTTCTGTGTTGATGACTGTAGTATTTTCCACCCTCAAATTCTATGAGTTATCTGCCAATTTTATCAGCAGTAATTCTGGGAGCAATTCTACTGGCATGGGAGCAATTCAGGACCAAACTGTGCAGAACCTCACTAGAAGAATATCCATGTGACAATGGCTTGCCATTTACAATTGCATTTTACGTGCTTAACAGGATCTTGATCAACTTCTTTCACAGCATGTTAATTTTGTAGGTTTAGCTAACAATTAAAAATCCTTTGTCAAGTCAGATGACTTCTAAAAACCAAACCCGATGCCAGTTAAACTATTAAATCAGCTTTATCAAACATGGAACTTCATCAAAGTCTATTCTGCAGAAACCTTTAGGACTTAACAGGACTACTCTTCCATTTATATAGCTTGCTGAATGAGGGCCATACACAGACGTTTATAAAAACAATCATGGCACTGAAAAAGTATTATTAAAACCAAATTACAGTAAACAGGAAAAAAACCCCAACCCCTGAAAACAAACTGTATCAGGTGATGCTTTAAAAAAAAAAAAAGCTTACCAATTTAACATATGATTTTTGCTCTTGACCAGCTGATGCCCTTTCTGAGTAGTGCTACTTTACAAGAGAGCAGCTGACACTACTGCACAAACTGCAGCAGCTTTCAGTTTCTCTCTTCATCCCAGCATTTTGGAAGCGGGCTGAGAAGACTCAAGTATTGGATTTTCAGCCTGCTGCAAGTTTCATCATTGTCTGTTTTCTGATGTGTGTAACAATAATTCAGAGGCACTCTCTAGCTTGTATGCACACATCCGTACTTACTTTTGGGATTAAAAATTTTGTAAACATAGATATTTTCTGTACTGCCACTGAAACTAATGACATGGAACAAATGCAACTGATGAAAGATTGCAGCTTTCTGTCATTTGATAAGACGATGGCATTAGTGAATTGCTGGTAGGCATATCATATGATATGCTGGCACTTGTGAAGGTTACCAATGCTTGTGTTGAGTCACAAGATTGTTTTTCTATGTCTTCTGAATTCACAGAGATCAGACTAGCATGCTTTGATCTCCTCCACAACAAAGTTTGCTTTCGCAGACTTCCCAAGTCCTCCTTAAAGTGTGGATTGAAAAGTATATAAAGCAGTGGGTTTAGACATGCAGGCAGTGGGACAATCACCAGCAGTATTGACTTAATCACTTCTGGGCTGATAAAGGTGAGGTTTAGTAAGGAGGAAAAAGATAAGAAGGCCACAGGGCAATAAAGAATGCAATTAGTAAAAAGTAACAAGGCTATATGTTTGACCATAGAGCAATCCCAAATGTTGTCTAGTTCTCCTTTTTCTAAGCTACAGTAAAGCTTTGTATAAGCAATAGTCATTACCAGAAAACAAAGGGAGTTCAGCAATACCAATGCTACCATGTAGCCCATAGCAGTGGATTCTCCAAATGGTAGTGGTAAACAAAGCGGAGAAACCCCATACTCACTCCCAGTGAGGAGTGGTATCACTGCAATGATTAGTGCCAACATAAAGCAAAAGAAAATGGCAATTTTTACAGTAGCAATTGAGGATTTTGTTTCAAACTTTGTAGCATGCTTTACAGAAAATGCACGTTCAAGTGCAGCTAGGGTAAGGAGGAAAATGGAAGCCTCTGAAGCAAAAATGGAGAGAAGACCAGTTATTTGGCAACCAGTTCCACTTTCCCACTGTGCTCCGTACTGAGCAAAGCTACCAAAAGTTGATGCATCCACACTAGCCAGTACTCCGCTGGCCAGACCCATCAAGGCATTTACAATAGCTATTAAACCGATCAAAAGTTTTATGGAGGACACATACAATGGAGATCTGAAAACTGTAGCAGACACCAGTGCATTGCAAATAAAGGTCAAACCCACTATGGTCCACACTCCAATTCTGATCAGCCAGCTACCAAACAGATGGTCACATGGTTTGAAGGGACCTGAAATGACAAAATAAAAAGGGCAAGGGAAACCCATGTAAACTAAAAAATAATTTTGCACTTTCTAAGATGTTAGTTTTCATGCTTCTTGCAGGTTCTCAGCACAGCCAAGCAGAGAATTTCAGTCCAAAAGGGGAGCTGGAAATTTGCTCTTCCTTTGGAGTAATCCAAGACCTTGATAACATGCTACTAAATGCACATTGCATGTTGCATTACTGGTGCACACAAGTCTGTGTCCCTCAACCCGAACAGTCTACAGGTTTCTTTTTGTGCCTAGCAGTACAAGTGCAACGTGAATGTCCAGTCTGTAGTTTCAAGAAATTCTGTGATGTTTGTTAGTGTGTGAAAAAAGCTGAAAAAGATACCTCTCACTAAACTAGGACAGGTTGCTAATGAGTCCTGGTGAAGTGTGATGTAATGTATATGGACAGATGCACTTCGGCTACCTTATAATATGTCATTACACAGTCCAAGAAAATTGAGGCTGTCTTTGCATTTGGAAGTGCTGCCTTTTTTGGAGGGGTTTCTGATGACCTGTGGCTGAAGTCAGGTCATCATGATTGAAACGTGCTATGTATTCTCATAGAATTGAGGTGCATATGCTGTGTGGTTGAAGCTGAATGCTCTGTAGTCTGAGAAACACTATCTCCGTACGAGCCAGCTATGCTCTCTCAAAGCACAAAGACCACCTTCACAGTGGTCTGTGCTTCTCCATGAACACACAAACCGCACAGCTGAATCACAGAATCACAGAATCGTTTCGGTTGGAAAAGACCTTTAAGATCATCCAGTCCAACCGTAAACCTAACACTACCAAGTCCACCACTAAACCAATTAAAGGTAGAGTAATAATTTCATGTTTCTTGGCTTGGTGGCTGGGTTATTTTTTAATGAAAGTAAAAACTAGGAATCATTAAGCTTGGAAAAGACCTCTAAGATCATCAGTCCACCCACCAACCCAACACGACCATGCCCACTAAACCATGTCCCAAAGTGCCACGTCTACACATTTTTTGAACACTTCCAGGGATGGTGACTCCGCCACCTCTCTAGGCAGCCTGTTCCAATGCTTGACTACCCTTTCCGTGAAGAAATTTTTCCTAATATCCAATCTAAACCTCCCCTGACGCAGCTTGAGGCGATTTCCTCTCGTCCTATCGCTAACTACTTGAGAGAAGAGTCCAACACCCACCTCGCTACAACCTCCTTTCAGGTAGTTGTAGAGAGCAATAAGGTCTCCCCTCAGCCTCCTCTTCTGTAGGCTAAACTATCCCAGAGATTGAGATGCGCTCCATATGACTACAGCTGTTGCCATCAAGTAGGCATAAGCACCTATTGTGTGTTAGTTTGCAAGTTTTTCTAAGATACTGTTTGAAAGATCAGCATGGAAACTAAATTTTCTCCTGGGTCTGGTGGTGATAACTTAACCTGGAAGACAGTGACATTTTCATGAACTCAGTAGTTATATTTAGGCCATAGGAGAGTAAGTGATGGTCAAATGGCTCTAAATTCTTTGGCTTCCTGCCTTTTCTATTCCTCTTTACATAACTTTAAAAAATTTATTATTATTTGCTGGTACAAACAAGAATCTTGGCTTGGAATGAATGCTGAAGTACTAGCTGTCACTTGGGTTTTTTTGTTCATGTTTCACAATGAAAGAATGGCTAGGGAAAATGTTTGCTGAATCAAGCAAGCAAAAATTATGACCATGGCCGTTAAAGCTAGAAGCGACCTTCCAAAGACATGTTTCTTTCCTTGCCTTAAAGGAAACTTTCATTGGAATTGGTGGCCTGTAGCTTTGCAGTTCAATCAATGTATTTCTTTTTCCTTTCTGCCACACTACGAAGCCAGCGATGAACTATACTATAAAGAAAATGACAGTGCTGGGGGTCCTTTGGGATGGACTGTGTACATCAATACAGTAGTGTTTGGTATTTCCTAGACATTGAACTAAACTGTGTGTTGTTCAAGAAGCTCAAGTGTAGAATACCTCAGTCAAGTTCAGAAGAATTACATTAGCTTTGCAAAAGACTGAGCGAGCAAAGATTCTGCTCCCCTTTATTCATCTGTGTCTTGGTAGAACAGAGTCTTTGCTCTCTCATTCCCTTGGTAAGGGGATCGATTACTGTGGAAAGGGGCCTGGAGTGAGGATGTGCTTGAGGACTGAGTAAAACTTTTGTTACACTCATAGATGAATTTAGTAGCTGAATATTTTTCTGGACTTCAATGCAAAATTTTGTACTATTGTGCAATGTATTTGTATTAATCTCATCGAATTATTGTAAAACATAGTATTACTGTCCTCGTATAAGATTCAGAGTTTGTTCTGCACCTAGAATATCTGGTAATACTGTGCTTGGATTCCTATCTGTCTGGCAGTTTCATACCTGGAGAAGGTGAGCATTGCACTGAATGATGAGCTTTCAAATCTTCTTCAAAGTCAAGAAAAAAGTCTTCAAAGTCACGCTCATCTGTTGGGGAGAAAATACTCAGATTTGATACGCTAATTTTCAGGAAAACTTCTTTTAGCACAAATTGCAAAAATGTCTGTGGTATTTAAGGCCTGGTCTTGTCCCTTTGCCTGCCAAACTGTGAGCAGAAGCAGACGTATGCCTATATGGTTTTGAATTACTGTACTCAGGATTATTTAAAAAGTTGGCACCATCACTTCTCTGAAAATAATCACTTACAGGTACATTCTGTATTACCTAATTTGCAGTGTGACAACTGCCTAGGAAAGAGTTTAAAATATGGAGTCTGCTGTTGTGCCAGGCTACTAAGAATTAACCCAAGTTTTTCTGTGTTTCTTATGTCATCGCTCTACCATGTATTCTTGGCTCTATTCTTGCTGGGGCTAGCCCTGAACTCTTGAGACTTACTGGTCTGCAGGAGCGGAAGTAGCACAGAAAGCAGCAGGATGGCATAACATGTGTGTGTGCATCTACATAACAGGTCAAGTAACAGACCTTGTGCTGAAGAAGAAAAAAAAATACAGGTGTCTTCTGTCCTGGAGAGCAGATGCACTCTCTGGTACCCAGGAAGTGCCAGGAAAAAATACCGGCAGCTATTCTAAAGTAGCCACATAAGCTCTGCGACTCATCCTGAAGCATGTGGACAGCAGGAGAGACAAGGACGCGTTGCTACTCCCAAGGCTGGCAAGAAACTGTATCTTTGCTGGCCTGCTCTTGTATGGGATTACATACCAGCACCACTTCCCTGTCTCTCACATAAAGGGAAGATTTCACTTCCCACATTATTATAGTTATTATTTGGACAGAAAGATTAGTGAGTGAGATTTTTGAAAGGCAGACCTGAAAAAATGAGTTTGCTAAGCACAGGAATGCTTGAATAATATTATCGGGCAAGAGAGAGGGAAAGGCTGCTTCTGTGACTGTAAGAGAGTATTGGATTTGTGTAACATCACAGGCTGCTGACAGCCTTCAGGTAGATTTAAAAGACAAAGATGACGATTACCTTGAATTTGTAACAGCCCAGCATCCTTCCTGTGAAAATCGTCAATGCTGCTATTCTCATCTTTGTTCCATTGGCTGGAGACTTTGTAGTGGTTCTCACAAGCTCCAAAGGCACAGCACTGATAAGCATAAGGCATTTCCATGACCCTGTAGAAGAATAAGGAAGCATGCCATGATACTGGTTTAGGACCAGAGTTATTGGGTTGTACTGCTCCTTTACTGTTAGCAAAAGGAAACTTGTTTAAATAACCATGACTGAAAGTAAAAATATCTATGGGGAAAAATCAGTCATGATAATACAAAATGAGGACTCACAAATAAAATTCCATATCAGAAATGCAGATGATTTCTCGGCTAATTTTGGCAAAGGCACAATGAAGTTTTCTTATGCATCTTCGTGGGAGATATGAAAGTGGGAGATATGTGCCTTGCCATTGAGTGAACATTACTCTTAGAGCTGTATTTCTATTTTGATTGTGAATGATTTTACTGTGTTTTACTGTGACAAACTCAACAGTTTCTCCATGTTACTTTCTTAATGGTTTCTTTTAAAAAAACAGATCCGAAGATCACAACTGCACCTACCTGCCTAACAGGCAAAACCAAAACATCCCTTCCCAAATGGAATTTCTCCAGTTTTGCAAGAATAAGATCTTTTGGAATTTAAACTTTATCCACCTCTTTCCACATCCAACTCTTTTCACAGTAAGATGGCAAAAAGGTGCTTGTCTTTTGTGCACAGACCAAGAAAGCAGTGTTCTAAACCAAATGACTCAGGAAGGCAGTGTGTGTGAAAACAGATGTCACTGAGGAAAAGGTTTTATTTTATTAATTGTCTTAGAAATGAGCACAGTCATTACAGGACACTGGATGCTTCTTCCTAACTCTTTTAAGGTCACTGGTATTCCTAACACATAACGGAATTATGTGAGTCAGTGAGTTTCAATGATTTCGAGGGTTTCTTTTGTCAGAAAATTGCTCATTTCCGGTATGTTTTGAATTTAATTCCTTTGGGGATGTGCAAATTCTGGGGTAGCACAGAAGAACTACCTATATTCAAGTTCTATAGACTACTTCTATTCCTTAGATATATTTTATGCTTTGGAAGCAGAGGTATTTAATTTGCACAGTTCACCAATAGTACATAGTAAAACCTAACAACTCACCTTAATTCCAAAAGCCCAATAAAACAAAAAAATTCAAAGATGAAGAGGTGATTAGAAGTTATTCTGACTTAACTTAAAAGGAATAAAATAGAACTAGATCCTCCTATGAGATTACTTTCAACAGGTTAATCGTGTAAATTAACATAATGAGCGTTCCAAGCAACCTCCAACCCCCTGGGAAATCTGCAAAGAAATCAGTCTGAATCAGGCCCAGTGCCAACAGGACTTAAACTTGTGCACTAGTCAAAAACGTGGTACAACGGGGAGCAAACAGAACCATCAGCTCTACAATGACTTTTAAATTGGTGCATTTCAGGGCACATACAGTGCTGGAAGCAGTCCTTTTTATGGCTGGTGCTTATTTGATGTGTGGGTGATTAGATCTGGACTTTGTCAAATTAAACTGGCTGAATTTATTTTTATATACTGCTTATCTTACTGATGATATCTGAATCCTTGATAATTTTTTTCCTGCAGCAAGGAATGCCTCTTTTTTCTGTTTTTAGATTAAGCAGCAGAGAACACAAGGTTGTTTTCCACCTCAAAAAGGTGTGGGGTTGATGGTGAATGGGAAGCCACAGTTAAGATGAATGGAGTAAATCACTGAGTTCTTTACAGCGCTGAATCAAAGCATCAGATAAAGAAGGAAGGAGAGGCTGGTAGCCTGACTTTACTTCCTGAAAGCTTGCCATAGCAGGCTGGGCTCAGTTCTGTAGAGCGTTCTTGTGCCATTGCTGAAGGCGGGGCAGGGGATGCTCAGCCCTTTGATGTGTCTGTGTATGGAACAGCAATGACCCATTTAGATCAGCAGAAAACGTTTATACAGGAATTTGTCTTTAATGTTGTAACCAGCATCTAGTTCCAACAATTACAAAGGGTGAAAATTGATTGTTTTAGATCTCTGTTCAAGTTTGATGCTTCATGCATTGTCTGTGTAGTGATCCTGTGTGAAGTCCTGGCCTCATTTCGATTTATGGTAAAAGTCCTGCAGACTCCAGGTCAGGATTTTACCCCATTCCCTCCTGACTGGATATAATTTGTTCTTACAGATGTTAATCAACTCTAGATATACTAATCATACTTTTTATACCTTTTTTTAAGATTTACGCTACTTCCTGACACATCCTTGTTAACTACTTACCCAGACTAAATACACTGTAGTTGCATTTGAGCAATGTACATAATTTTACTGGTTGAAAAATCATATAAAGTATAATTTTGATAAAAGAATTAAAAAAACTTAGTTGTACATCATTCAGTTGAATAGTGGATTATTCTAGTATTACTGCAGCACCTCTGATGCCTCTAGGCCATGGTATATACATCACTATATTGCTGGAGTAATCCATTTGCTTGTGTTTACATTCTTTTAAAGAACCTTCAGGTATTTTAGAATTGTCACCTCCCTCAACTCGTGGGCAGCCAGTGAGAGAAGAAAAACTATGGCAGAAGTTCAGCCTCAAGCATTCATGATTTCTTATGGTACTTGCTTCTTGACCTCTGAGACTCATCTCAAAGTCTCTAGTGTAAGAGAGGTGTAAGGCCTCTAGGACTTTGAATGTTTATGTTATGAAAGTAGCTTCATACATTGTGATGAAGTCACTGCCCAAACTTCTCTGTGACAAACCGCAAGTATTTGGTTTATTAAGACTTTTAAGGCATTGTTTCCTTGGAACCATTTTTTGCAGCTCTTCGCTCAGTTTATATTAACATGCCATCATAGAAGTGTTCTAGTGTTGATCCCTCCAGTGCTGTATGCAAAAGTTTAATCAGCTCTGCACTGACTCCCTTATTGATAACCCCAAACACTCCAGTCCTTTTCATTAGTGGTAATGCCTCCTTGAGTTGTCTGCCTGCTAAGACTCATGGAACTTTTCCAGTGCAAAAGGCAAATCTAGTGAAGATATAAGGATGGAATCTCCATTTTCGGAGATATTCAAAAGCTGCCTGGATGTGGTCCTGGGCAACCGGCTCCAGGTGACCCTGCTTGAGCAGGGGCTTGGACCAGGCGACCTCCAGAGGCCCCTTCCAACCTCAACCATTCTGTGATTCTGTAACTATGTGCACACTGTTTAATTGTTTCAAATATCATGATATCAAACCTTTTGCAGTAAAACATGGAAAAAATATGTTGCACTTGGCATCCTCTAATTAAAATATAAAAATCAAGGGAGAGTTAGGGGACACTCCCAAATACCCTGAAGTCAGAGGCAAAATGCTCTTTACTGTGATTTCTCTATGGTCATCCAGTGACTGGCACAGCTGCAAATGATCTCTAGAGAACATTTCCTTCCTGTATCACAGAGCATCCAGCAGAAAATTACTAGCATGAAAATTTTTAGTAATAATGGCAAAGTATTATCTGAATCTTAATCAAAAGATTACAGAAAAAACATGTTCAAACAAAAGAGGTCAAATATCTTGGAACTTCAGGAGTATACTCTTCCCTTGATATTTGCTGTGTTCTCATTAAATATAATGGAAGTTCTGTAAGCACAATCGAGTAGAAGAAGGACATATCACTAAGCTGCTAGCAATATTGTTTTAACAGCTTTTGAAACATATCACCAGGAAGCAGATGTGGCTCGTATTAAGCAAGTACTGGGGTTAATATTTCAAAACCCTTCATAGTTTCTTCAGTTAGAAGTGAGCATAATAAAAGAAGTCTATCATTTTTATCATATTTGCTTTAGTTTTAATAGCACAGATCAAAGACTGACAATACGAAGTAACATGCGTTACACACTGACACACCTTCCATTGCACATGAACACAAATGTGGCTTATTAGTTTTAATGATATACTCACTTGAGTTCTGGAAAATTTTCAGATGATATCAAACTTTGCAGGGCATGATTTCCTGTTAATTTTAAATGAGTTAAACCATGCAGCCCCGTCACAGGAAAAGAGGACAAAAGGTTGGATGACACATCCCTGCATAACAGCAAATAAAAGTCAGCTTACAGGTTTTCATTTTTTTTCTTCAGCACTAGAAGTGTCACATTGGAAAAACAGATTAGGCTTTTCTAACTCAATCAAAAATGACTGCATTAAACAAAGGCCCCAGTCAGCAGAGCAAAGCTGTAGCACCACTCCGGAGTATGCACCCATGTGCCTAGTAGAAAGCTAATAGCAGTATCTAGCAGTTAGCTAAGTCTCTGTTGCCAAATTTTGACTGCAAACATTCATAGTGCCAGTTTTGAGACTAGCAAATGAATTTAAAACCGTTCATTAGATTGTTTGAATTAAAGGGAGCCAGCACCACAACAGCTTCTCACAGTTTAAAAGATTCAGTGGGATGCTAGAGGGCATGGCTGCCCTGAAAGCTTCACGGGGAGCAGGTCAGGTGTACGGGGAAGACGCGTGTTTCAGGGCAGGACAGGTCTGGGCCGGAGCAGATAAAGGTGACGATTCTAAGCTGAGGTTTGTCTGAGGAGCTGAGGGAAGACAGCGCAGATGAACACGGATACGTAACTTGGGGAAAGTAAAACAGGTGAATGAAAAAGTGACAGTGATCAAGGAGATATGGTAAAGTAATCAAACAGCAGGAAGTCCAGAGGTATTCTGTTCTCTGTTCCTCCCTCTCTCTTCCATTTATTCTATGAGCCTTTTCAGTCCTCTTCACAATTATCTACACTGCAATACTTAAGATGGTCAACAGTCAGGAAGGAGGAAGAAGGGGAGTCTGATGCTGAAATGCTTTTATGCCCAAGGCTGAAAAGCAAAGTTCCTGTCTCTTGGACTATCTACTAAAATCTAAGGGCTAGACATAAAATAAGGTATGTTGATGGATTGGTCTTCTACCTATCTGATTTAGTCTGTGTCCTCTCGCTCACAACATAGTTAAATACCAAAGGTGAAATTCTGGTCCTACTGCAAGCGTAAAAATTACCACTGACTGCAGTCAGGCCAGGGTTAGAGACTAGCATTTCAGGAAACACTGGTAAACTCTGTTACTCTGTGTGTGTGTGTTAAAGGGCTTTTTTCTTTAACCCTCTCTGACTGTTCTATGCTATGGACCAAAGCTGCAATTTATTGCTCACCTCACAAAGTAGGAAAGTTCTGAGGAAGGCCCCAAAAGGGATGTCATAAACAATATTGTCTTTATGGGCATTTTTCAGTGCACCATCCAGAGGGGAGGCTTTGCACATCGACGGAAATGAATACTCCTTTCCAAATTTAGGTTTCCCAGCAGCTACTGGATTTTCTGTGAGCAAATGCCTAGCAGTGTATATTTGTGACAACGATGATTCCAGAGGAATTTTTTTTCACATCTTCCCCATACACCCAATGCCTCAGGGATTCACCTTCAAGAGGCATTACAATGACAGTGGGAAGTAGGAAAAAGTAGTAAGGACTGAGAAGTGCTTGTGAACAAGGCCTGCAAAACTGGCTGCTGATGTTTTGACCACTAACCACTCTAGCTGAACTTACTAAAGAAGAAAAACTATTCCATCAATTGAGGAATGGTGAAATAAAGATGCATACTGGAAAAAGTTCATTTAATTTTTAATCCAGTTCCTTAGTCCTGAACCACAACTAACAGGAAATACTCCCCACAGCTACAAGAGACTCAACTGCTAACAAACTGAATGAAGAAAGGCAGATGCACTGATATTCTTCATGGACCCCAAATCACTCTGATTACACAGTGTTATATGCAGCTTTACCATAATACCTATGGGAACTGGTGAAGTACAAGAAAGCAGGCGTTTAGATATGGATTCAACAGACCAGAAGATTAGAAAAGAGAAAGCCTCAATTTCTGCTGGGGCACCAAGTTATTAAATTTTGGTATGCTCTTCAAAGAAAAATGTGAAAATTTGAATGCAGAAGATATACAAATACTTACAGTTTGATCAGAGATGGTAAAGAGGAGAAGGCATTGGGGTGAATAATTTTAATTTTGTTCCAAGCTAAATCCCTACAAGAAAAGCGAGTGGAAAATTACATACCCACTGAGTGAATATGGAAGTTTTCATACACTTGATTAGGAGGCCTAAATATAAAAAAGGTATTAATTACATGCAAATATTTTCAATAAGCTTCTGCATATCTCATAGTGCAAAATGTTTTTTCCATTTTTAAATTATGTTAGTCAGTTAATGGTGTTAGTTACTAAACTGACAACTTTCTTATAATATAATGCCTTCTCCAGTCTAAGGCAGATTTTTTCAGTCTGCTTCACAGCTTCCTAAGGCAGCAGAAAGAAGGGTGGGGTATATGGACTATTTCTAAGAGGTCCTCACGATGTGACTAAGAACAGCAAATCCATTGTCAATAGGCTTAATTTCCTAATCCCAATCTTCACCGCCCCTGAAAAATCAAACAGACTGAAAGCAACTCTTAAATGTATGGGTTTGATCCTGCAAAAACTTATGACCATCAGTAATTTCTTGACAAAATTACTCTGCTAGCACATGTGTCTTTGTGAAAACTAGAAACCCGCACATGACTGGACTCTATTTCTTACAACACTGTTCTCTTTAAAAAGATTTCATGCTCTCTAGAGCTGATTATTATGTGAACCTGCAACAGATACCAGCTCTGGCTCAGTATCTCTCTCCAGCTCCACCAGAAACATTTAGAAGTAACAGCTTTTATAGCTATAAGTTTACATCTTTGAATTCATTGCTGCTGATGCTAAACTCCACCATGTTTGTTCTCCTTTCACAGTTATGACCTAATGGGTGAAAGATCAAAGTGAGGAAAAAAAAGTAGCAACGATGTTTTGGGGCCTATAGTGAGCAGACAGTATATACCCCATGTTTTTGAGAACCTGGGAGAATGACTGTTAGGGCTGTACTCACAGAGACCGAAGAGCAGCCAGCTGCCGAAACGTGTCTGCTTTGATTTCACCGATTTCATTGTGATGCAAGTCACTGAAATAGCAATAAGAATCTCCTCAGTTTCAAAGGCACTCGGAGGACACTTCAGGGTGTTTTAGATTGTGTTTATGATCCACTTCAATATAGTGTAAGGGTAGGTATTTGGGATATGTCAACTTGGCCAGCAATAACCAAGTTAATGATGCTCAAACACATTTGTATATAGATGCTTCTTTTTAGGGTAGTCTGACGCTTACATTTTTTGGAGTTTTTTACATGCAGTAAAACAGGGTAAATCTTCCAGCAGGTTATAAGACAGATCCCTGTAATACACAAGAAAAGTAAATATTAACATCAAAGTAACATTAAAAGAATTAAAAGATCTTCCATTGTCTACCTTCATGCTCAGTTTAAAATAACTTGTTTTTATCCACACTCACAGAAGAACAGAAATGTGCAAACTCACTTATCATCCCTCATCTGTCAGATTTTGATTTTTAACTGAGGAGGAGAGAGGAGGGGGAAAGGCAAGATGTATTAACTCCATATCCTATGTTTGCAAATTCCTTGCATTGTCTGAAGATTTCCTGCCTGAAGTATAGACTTCTGCTGAGAGTTTTACAGTAATGATATTGGCCATCTGCACATAGGGAATATTGGATTTATATCACAGATGTCATATTTATTAAATTCTGACAAATATTTAAACCATTTAAAATAATCTACTAAATATATATACTCATATTTTTTCAGAGAATATCCTGTATTTTTCTGGTAATAATCACAATGGACTGTAATCAGCTTTCCATTCTACACTTCTAATTAAGCACTATTGCCTCTGATCCTTAGACTGTTATATCTTATAACTGAGGGAAATGGTTAAAAAAAATATTGGAACTAACTTTGAAATCAATCACTACATGGGGGAAAAAAAACCTTAAAAAGACTTGAGCCAAAACTCAACAAATTACAGAATAACTGAAACATCTGGACTGATTTATAGCATAATATAACTAATCAAAACCAAGCCTGGGCAATTTGCAGAAATTGGAGGGGAAAAAAAAAGGAACCAAACACCCGCCCCCACCACCCGACAGTCTCATCCTATATATACATGTTGCTTACGGAAAACTGAAGGGGAAATTTGCTAGAAAAAGAATATAGAAAAAAAAGCTTCTACTTGTAATTAGGAAAAATGTCCTTTTCCACAGTTATCCAATATTATAATGTAAAAGAGTAATATCTCTTCATTCCTGTTTTGAATTCTTTAAAACTGGTTCATCTCCACCCATTTACTTCCTTGGTAAAATTTTATTTTCACTGTTACTATTCCAACAGGGGCATTTAGGCTTATTCTATATTTGATTTGTTGAAGTGGTGCAAGTAACAACCTTGTGTGTTTTTAAGATATTCTACTCTGCTTTTACTATGCACAAAGGCTACCATCAACATATGCTTATTTTTTGTTATAGCAGGGAAGATTGCGGCCTCTTTTTTTGTGATATTCACAGGTACTCTGTGGTTCAAATCAGACATGACAGAGAAGAATTCAAGTGAGCTGGAGGCTTTTAGGCCAAGGTGAAAGACGTTTGGTATGTCTGGCAGACCGTGGCTATTCTGTCATGCACAGATTTGTGACTTAGGTCTTCTTAAAAGTATGTTATCAGCCTGAATTTTGTACATACTGACGCTCCCTCTTCACACAAGGAAAAAAACTCCAAAACAAATCCGAAACCCTTCTCCCCTCAGTTTCTGTTACAGCTCCAGGAAAAATTTTACTTGTTTATTCTTAAGGATTTTTTCCCACTTTGTTAATACACGAGGCTCTTGGCAGCAGCAGAAGGCACGTGGTTTTGGTTCCCGTGTTGAGGTGCATACCCAACTGTGCTGAGGGTAGTCTCTTGAGGACTGCTGGGACTGTGTTCTCACATACACCTTTACTGCGGGTGTGCAGACACCCAGGAAGCCTCTGTGTACGTTAATCCACATTTGGAAGTATTGGTGGCTAGGTAGGATGCACAAATTGTCTTTCAAAGCAGTGTTTGCACTTGTAGTGTTTGTTCATGTATCTGAGCCAGGAAGCCCCTTCAAGATCGCAGTCTCCAAGTAACTTGTGGCGTTCAGCACACCGTTATAACACTTCATGGCACAGGCAAAACTAATGTGCATACCTAAATATGGGCTTGGCAGGCTCGTTCCAATCTGATGGGAATGGGGAAAGAGCAACTCTGAGTACATGAAATTGATGCTAAACTGGTCCGCCACCCTTTTAAATATCAGCTCTAATAATACAGGGTGATACTCAAAAATAAAAAATGTGCATTTCCAATGGCCAGTCCTACTCTACTATGAACTGTACAAGTTACTAACTACTATAGTATTTATTTACCTTCTGTTTTGAGGTTATTAATTGGTTTTGAATAATACAGAATACATTTAAACTTAAATCTGTGTGCACACTTTCTTCTGGCAACAGACTGTTTCTGCCTTTTATCATTCTGGAAATGATTATATTGAGTCCATCAACTAAAACTTAATTTCTTCTGCAAATGTTCATGACATCCATGCTGGTATTCAAATAATGTGTTATAATTAGTGCTATTTCAGTGTTGGCCAGAGAACTAATACCAAATACATCCCTAGTGATGTAATACATAGAGGAAAGTGCTGTTGGCTCATTCTCAAAGAAGCGGACACAATGATTACTTTCACTAGTGATTAAGCAATTCCAAGGAAATCTCCAAGCTAAAATAATATTGCATAGTTAGTATAAAAACTGCCCCGACTACGCCAAGGAATAGTCTATTAAAATTTCAGTCAGCTACTTATGTCTCATTGGAAAAGAAACTAAAAGAGGAGCATGACAAGGACTCAAAACTGCACTCCTTACTCAGTTACATTTTCCATTCACTTCACTGAATTATCTGCGTCAGTGAGGGAAAAAACCCCAGACTACCGTAGGAGAGACAGAATGAATGAAAATAAGGCAGTTCTGTTGTTTATTAAACAAAATCAAGAACCATTTTACCCTTTCCTAAAAATATGCAAAGTAATCTTCTTCAGCAATATATGGGAAATCCTGACTGATAAGTGGGTTGTGAACTTTTTGAGTACCACGGGGGCCCACTCCCTGAGCTGAATTCCTAAGAAGTAATGTGATACACAGAAATAGCAGTAATTGGGTAACTTTGAAATCATAATGATTTCATTTGTCCATTAATCTCTTGCATTAATGTAATGTTAATAATCTTACTGAAACGTACAGCACTTGGAGATTAGGTAACTGGTCACACGCTGATTTGGGGAGAAAGGTGATCTGTGCTCCTGTGAGTGTCCTGTTAAAAGTATTTATAAAAAAAAAAAAAGAAAAAAAAAGATTACTTTTTAAAGATTGAAAAACAAATACACTTTTTTAGGACATTCTTTAGAATAAGTCAGTATCCAAAAAAATAAAAGAAAGCAAAAAAACTTCTCTAGCACTTACAAACTCTCCAGACTTGTAGTCCCTGTCAGATCAGGAAACTCTGTTATCTGTGAAGCACCATTTAAAGTCCTAGAATTTAAAAATATCATTTCAATACGATTGTGGTGAGGGAAGTGTGGGGCAACTCTAATGTTGCAATATATAAAGACAATTAAAATGAAAAAGTAAACACATACAGAGTTCTGAGTTCTGGTAAGTGTTGAAAAGCAGATTTTCCAACAAGCTGGATAGGGTTATCATAAAAATGTCTGTAAAAAGAGGATAAAAAGACATTTTAGGAAGAATATTTTAAAAGATTCTAAATATATTACAGGCTTATACTATAAGCAAATGAATAAACTCCCTATGATGAATCACAGCCTGTGCACCTCTGGTTGTAGCAGAGGTGCACCTCTGGGTTTTTCTCACCCACTAATCTATATCCATCAACCACATTTCATTTTGAATATTCAAGTAGTCATTGTTTTCTTGGTTTTAAAGCCAGAAGCCAGTCAACAAAATAGTCCCTCTTCCTCCCTGGTTTCCAAAGACAGAAATCAAAATATGAAGAACTTTGTTATGACCTGAGACAAATTTAAGGTTAGCAGGTAAAGAAATCAGAACTTTACCTACTCAGAAGAGGGTGCCTTGCACTTTTGAAGTCATGCTGCTTTTGCTCATCGAATAATGTTGCTCAGGATGAATCACTATTTTTCTTACGTTTATTTTACAATTTCTTATTTTGAGGTTTGCCCATTAAATGGATTTTCATGTAAGACAACAGGAACTCAGACCGGAATCCATCAAGAGTAATAGTAATTTTTGCTAGCTTGTACGTTGCAAGTACTGCTAAAAGACTTAAGAAGTAGTTCAAATAAAAGGTCAAAGACCAGAGACCACTACTCACTTCCCTTAAACAGGGCATGCAAACTGCCATTCCTTCCACAAAGTTGGAAAGATATGAGCTTGTTTGCTTGTATAATGATGTCCTACACAGTATGCTCACAAGAAGAGCTATTTGACAATTAGCCACAAATACGATACTTAGTTCCACATCTTCTAATAAGAAGAGTCATTGAAAAGACTCTTCTCACTTACATTGTAATAAGTGATGGATTACCCACAAATGCACGCTCAGGTATTGACTTGATGTTATTGCTATGAAATCCCCTACAAAAGGAAAAATGGTTTAAACAATAAGAAAAAAAAGCAAAGGCACAATCTGTATTCACAATGCACAACAATTTTTTTCGTTTGTAGTAAGAAAAATGTCTGTATGTAAACGTATCTCCTTGTTTTCTGGAATAAGACAGAACTGAGAAAAGCAGAAGAAAAGAAAAGCAACAAAATAGCTGGAATTCTGTGCTTTTCAAAATGAACAAAACCATTCAGATGAAGCAAACTGCAAAATGGCATTTTAAAATTCAGATGCCCTCAGTAGGAAATGGCTTCATAGCTGTATGTCATGTACCTATGAATCTATGTGTGTATGTATACAATGTAAAAATATACACACATATGGACTAATAACATTAATAGCTAAATATTAATAATTAAATAAGTAAAAATAAAATACTATATATATTTCCCCCTGTACTTGTTAAATGGCAATTATTTCTTTTGCTGGGATAACAATGGATTGCACAAGTTTATCAGGGAAATGATTTTATACATTATATTGTAATATGTTGAGCCTCCTACAATCACCTTTTTGTTGAAGTATTTTAAATGTGGACATGAACAAACTACCCAGTGCAGTTGTGCCTACTGGATACAGGGCCAAATCTTTGTCTCATCATTAATTACTGGATTTTATTCATATGAGTAATTCTCCATTGTGAAAAACAAAAGAAACAACTAAGATTTCAAAAGAACAATGATGATTTGTGTGGGAAACTCCTATTAGTTCAGTCGGGTATGAAAAAGGCTTTCCAGCTTAAATTTATGCATTTAGAAAGCCTCAAATTGTTCACTGATGCAAGCACACTTGGCCATTACTTGAACAGGTCCCACTATTGGTTTTACTTGTTTAGGCATTGTGCTACTGCTGATGAGCTACAGAGCAAGGCTCTAAATCCCTAGTTCTTTTGCATGCAATAAAAACTGCATCCATGCAGATGCAGACTCTAAGCAATATGACGATCCCATTTAATCTAGAACCAGTAAACAGACGATTTTGTGGCTGTGTGGAATGGGATTCCTTGCGTGGCAGAAAAGCTAAGGAAATGGCATGACTACTTCCCAGGGCAGTATCCGGCCCCTCATCACCATTCTGACTCGAGTTAAAGTGAGGGAGCAGCCCCATCATCAGCCAAGAGCAGACTCCGGTGTGTTTATGCGCAGAAGAGTCTGAAGCGCTTCTGAGCTGGAGGGAAGAGAGCGTGCTCACGGCTGCAGCCTCTGACCTGGGGCACTGCACCCAAGTGACAGACCCTGTCTGAACTGAAGGCACTTTACAGCCTGTCAGTTCACATACTGAGCAAAAGAGCAGTAAATTGTAGCTGCATCCCTGGGTAAAAAGACTGTATTAAGGCCACACTGGGAAAAATGCTTCTACAGGTATCTTCAAAATCCATTCTGGAAAACATCACGTATGCATGAACTTTGAGTAACAGCTATACCCACTTACTTTGGAGAGATAACTACTCCTACAGCCAAGACCTGGCAGTGCAGAGCACCTGGGACCATGGTGTCCCTGTAGCATCAAACAGACATGGCCCTGACTCACTGCCCGCTTGCCAGCAGATCTCTAGCTCTGACTGCCTGCCTTGGATGCCTCCAAGCTGTAGACAAAAAGCCACATAGTCTGTGTTTTCAGCCCAGGCACAAATTTTGAGAGCAAAATGAGGTCCCGCCCAGAAGCCCCCTTACTAAGGTGGCCCTGCAGTGAGCTGAACCTCTGTGGGCCTGGGCTACCCCTTGGGTGAGAAAGGCAGGGCGTGCGCAACCTTGTGGGAGATACCTTGGGCTTGTAAGATCGGCTTCCAGGGCCCAAACAAAGCACTGAAGCACATGGTCTCATGGTCTGTGCTGGCTTTGGGATGTCAGGTTGCAATTTCACACTCCAAAGACCTATTGCACCCAGGAGCTTATCTAACAAGTTTGGTACTTAGAGGTGAAGTCCTACAGGGCCAGTAAGTAACCTCAAGCACATCAGGCAGTTTGCTGGACTGGGCAAGGTGCATTTACTGCAAACCTGGGTTATCCGTGTTTGGCTGCTGACTCCGGAGGTCAGCAAAAATGCAATCCTTCGAGGCCGCTGGATTTCATACCAATTATTTTAGCTGACAGATGACATAACAGCAGCTGAGAACAGTTGGGCTGAGAAACTCATAGCCTCACTCCCTTCTCCAGAGCCACACTCTGCCAATACTGGAGGTGCTGAACTGGAGACAACACTGCCTGAGGATCCCTGCTTTGGAAAAAGCGCCAGGTAGCTACTTAAAGAGGCTTTAAGATCAGTTTGTGATGTTGATGATGTAGCAGGGGTACAACCATGTCCAAACCCTATATGATTACCTATTTTTTCCAAAAATCTATGCTGATGGTACCAGTAACATGTTAAATAATTCAAACATAAAGAATTCTGAACATACGCACTGATGTGTACATTGCGTGAATTTAATTTCATTCATTTTTTTATAATTCAGCTGTTTCTTACAACAAACTTGGCTGGTTTCTTTTCATTGTTGATTTTTTTTAATGGAAACTATGCCTGTGCATCCAGAATGTACAGCATTACAAAGGACTATTTATATTGAAAAGAAACTGCTTTAATTTAATGTGGGGCAGGGAGGGAAGAAGGTAAAGATGTTTAAACCTGATGGGCTAATAAGGGTGCCACACCTTCTTCTTCTTAGACTAGAAGACTGTGATATATTGGATTGTTTGCAAAATCCAACTGTTGGGTTTGTGACTCAAAGTGAATTAATTGTGTTTATCCATGGATGAAGTTCCTGGAAAAACCCACTATATAATGCAGTATAAAAGTAAAAGTTGTCAGAACTTGAATGCTCTAAACTGAATGTTGAAAATTATCTTTCATGCATGTTGGCATGTTTATTAGTTTTTCCTAGGATATCAGTTTTTAAGGATTACTGATAAAATCACCAGCATTAAAAAAAATAATCACACACTAGTCAAAACATCCTCCTTCCTAATATGAGCTACGTACTTACAGTTCTTTTAGGTTTGTTAGTGTCCTGATAGCAGTGGGGAACTCGTCCAGACTGTTGTAATTTAAATCTCTGTGTGAAAATAGATTTTATTATTTAGGTTATGCACTGCATAACGGATAGCATAGAATTGTTCGCATTTGTAATGAAATATCATCTTCCATGCATTGAATAAATACATACAGCCAAAAGCCAGGAAATCCTCAAAAGTGTATGGGTGTTTTCCAACAAACTCTATTTAGGGCACATTATCATTCCTATTTTTTATAAGCATCCTATTTTTAGTTATATCTTAGCTACTCTGCAATAAAGAAAACAAAAGTGGATTCAGATACTAATAAAGGATTTGCGGTTTTGTAAATTGCCCATCCTTTCCATTACTTGAAAGTATTAATGGGAAAAAAAATCTTTCAAACAGAATATTCAACAACTTCGTACGGTGAGCTGCATTTTACATGGCTAATACATCGCACTATAAAGGTTTCATTTGCCTCTGGCTCACTGTCTAGTTGTATTAGTTTTTTTTTTTTTCCCCGCTGATGAAAAAATCTCTGGAGAGATTTTTCCCAATGGTTAAGTGGTAAAAATAAGAAATACTGGAGTTTGGAGGGTAAAAATGATTAGGGGAAATCTTCCTCTGGCTATAACAAATGGGAAAACATACAGTAAGCTCAATGTTACCATTAACTGTACTGTTAATTTTAAGATCTGTCAATATTCATATGGAGAATGTTTCTAACCACACAAGTTGTAAAAATGATAGATTAGTTGGGGTAGTGACCTCTGCTTTAAGAACTGCTCATGCTGCAGCAGTAATTAGACTTTATTCTGGTAGGCTGAATGGACTATAAGCCTACTTCTGCCCTCAGCATGACATGTGCATCCTTTGGCATTCAGGAGACACCTGAAACTACCATTGAGGTATGACAGTTTACTGTGGTGCTCTCTGGCACTGCTCTGTGAAGAATATAGTCTGAAAAACTTGAGCAAAAGCCTTTTTGAACTGGCAAAACACAAGTCACAGTTTACAATAGATTGAAATTGAAATAGTATCAGGCTGAAGTAATGCAGGCAGGAAACTGCTGTCTGAACTCAACAAGACTTTCCTTCCTGCTTGTAAATCTCTCTCTCCTGCTTATTGACAAAAAGAGATTACAGGCATGTACGGTTTGGTTTTGCCCTCCAGTGATATTTGATTTCCAGACCTATGCGTTGACGCAAACAAATGATCTTAAAGCTGGCGTCCATCATTTACACTGAGATCTCTTTAGATTATCTTGAAACTATCTGGAAACCGGGTCTATACAGTATGCAGTTACTGTGCTTGAGGCAAGTGCTACGTTCTCCTATTGCAGTGAAATGGCTGCACCTTCACTTATTCCCAGGTTCCTGACTGTCCTCTGTGTTCCCATCTCTCTCATGCCAGGTGGCTGGGACTGGGTTTGCAATTACTTATTCCATTGTTCTGTTTTTCCCCATTTTTGACCAAGTGCCATGTGAATCTCACTTAAAAAAACAAAACAAACGATTACATTTTCCTTCTCCCTTTCCCATCCCCCTTTCCGGTGCTACACTAAGGGACTTCCTCTCAGCTCACAGCCAGCTAAAAGACAAAATTGTAAAATTGCAATTCAGTGCCAAGGGATCAATGTAATCAAAACTACGGATAAAAAAAAAAAAAAGCCCCAAACTTCTTGCTCTCTGACCTTAATGAAACATGAAATTGGGCAGTACATAGTTCTGTGGATGAGAAAGCAAATAGTCACCTTTAGGCTAGCATTATTCATCTTTGAAACTTTGTCTATTTGGTCCTCATAACAGGCCTTTTAGCCTTTATCCTGGTTGGGTGAAATATCTAAAATGACTGAAAATGATACAGCTGGCTGTGGCAGGTGCCGGGGGAAGGATATGCAAGGTTTTACTGTCCCTGTAGCATGTTTGTGGTCTGTGGTCTACTCTAGCAGACAACATCTTTATTCGACTAACTCTGTAGCAAAATACTTTGCACTAACCGTCAGCACTGCATTCCTGTTTGGCGTTCTTCTGTAGAATTCTTTTTTGTTAGAAAACTCAAGAAAATTTGAATTGGACTGAACAGAACTATGGTGAAAACTTGAGGAAATTTCAGTCTTTACCAGTGCTATTCTTTATCAGAGCTCTTTAAAGACAAAAGCTTGGATACAACTGAAACATTCCTCTTCCCCCCTTGTAAAACACATGCATAATTTGGCTACCTGGTACTTCTGCTTTTTCCAGGGATAAAAAAAATAAACCCATCTAATTTTATAACCCTCCTCTATAGCGAGACAGTTTCTTAATGTTAAAGCTTTTCATTGTGACAATTTCTCAATCTAGCTATTAGCTTTATTGATCAAACAAGACAAATAAATAGTACTAAACTAGGCAAACATAACTGTTCATGAATAGCCACTTCTTTTTCAATGCTCTGTACAGTTTTCAACTGTCCTTTAAACAACTTATCAATTGACAATGCTTATTAAAAAGGCAAACTAATTTTATAGTCAAAAATAGGATTTGCTACACAGAGTCATTGTAAACCATTACTTAGATCCTGTAGCGATTAGGCAAGCCAAAATCCACATTTGGCTTTTAGGCTATTTTTATTCTTTCAGAATATTAATGAAAACACTGAAAAAAAAGGAAACAAATAAGAGGTCAACTCACAAAGTCTCTAGGCTGTGGAGCCCATCAAAGCATTTCTTTCCCAGGGAGTAGATTCTATTGTTATGGAGATGTCTGCAGGGGAACATTAAGCACACAGTCAGGAAAGCACACTGCACACAGTGGACTTAAGCAAAACATTTTGATGGTTAAATCAAAAGAAACTTATTTTCAGGCATGCACTGATTATATGCAAGTCATGCTTTTACAAAAGCATGTATAGGAGGCACCTCTGCCGCCCTCCTCCTTTTTCCTAATATCTCCCCACCCACGCAGGCTTCCATTTAGTTTCATAGAAGGGGTTTGTTTTAAAACCACCTAGATTGTTTAAAAAGGGTGTATCTTGGAGTTCCAGGTTGGGGGTTGCACATCAAATACTGGGAAATTGTAGACATATTCTCAGTGGTGGTTAATTAACTGGTTGTGTTAAAAACGGTGTGTGGGGTGTGAGTGTATATTTGGAAGATATATATTCAGAGGGTATCAGAGGGTATGGCACAGAACAGGAGCAGGTGAGGAGATGGATAACACGGCAGACAGGAAAGGGGTATTAGGCTTGCAGAATGAAAGATGACACAAAGGCACAGGACAAAAAAGTCATAGCTTTACTGACAGGAGAAAACTAACCAATCTTAAAAGTGCTGTAACTTGCCTTCTTTTGAAACTATAAAAATCAACAACTACTTTCTCAAATGTTTAGCAATTGAAAGTAATTTTGTTAGATATTTCAATCAACCTCCCCGCACGAAGGCTCAGAGTGCTGCCTATTTCTAAGTCTTTTAGACCGACATGGAAAAAACCCACTCTGTGTGAAGCTCATTAATGTGAGTAGATACAACTCGGAGCCACTTCAGGTTGTTTTTTAAAAAGGATGCCTTTTTCCCAGGTTTTTCCTTTTATTCTCTTCCTGACACTCTACCCTTAAAGTGGAGGGAAACTACGGGAGTAGCACTTGAAAAGAAAAGAAGGGCTGTGAATGAGGAGCTGCCAGGCACTTCCCCTTCAATGCTTCATTCTGCTCTGAAAATAATGTTAAAGATCAGAGGCTCTGTGAATGTTCTGCAGAACCTACAGAAATTGAATCTACCTTTCCATAAAAGGCAGGGATTCTGATGACAAAATGCAAATGTTCTGTGGGTTTTTCCTTTCCTAGGAAGAAACCTAATCAACTTTTTTTTTTTTTAATGACTACACTGACCTTTAATGCTTTAGTTAGCATGAAGAGTGCATCTCCAAATTCCAATTATGTTTGATCTTTAATGATAGAGCTTCAAACCTGCTCCAACTGACCATGCATTTTTTTGCACTGAGTTGAAAATTTGCCAGACTGTAGCCAAGAGTAGCCAGCAAAAGAAAGCAGAACCACACACAAAGGTTTTGATGAGCCAAAAATATCAGATGTTGTAGATCATGAGGAATGATTCAATTATTAATCAATATGAAGCCCAGAAGATCAGAAATAAGCAACGCAGATCTAAAATAAGGAAGCCTAACTGAGCAGAAGCAATCAGGGCATGAAAAGAAATAATTTTCTCCTGCATTTCTTAATTGTCCTCTTATCACTATATTTCTGGTAGGGATCTAGAGAATGACATTCAGGACAGTCTTTTTAGCATTACTGAGGTAAGTCTAGAAGCTCAGCCAAATGACAAGTCCATCCACTCTTTAACTTGAATAGGATTGATACTCAATGTAAACAGAAGGCAAAGATTTTTATAGAATCATAAAATGATTTTAGGTTTAGGTTGGAAAAGACCTTTAAGATCATCCAGTCCAACCATTACCCTCCATTTTTGGTGCCCTATATGCTTATATGAATATATTAAGCGCTAGGCAGAGATGGTGATTATAACTGTCAATAGAGAACTGTGGCGTGTGCCAGGTTCAATGCTTACACTGGGGCTAGAATATGCTAAATATGTTAAGTGTCTTACAGACTATGGTTTCAGACAGCTTGTAAAGCTTGAATATACTATTCTTTCTTTAATAATGCTAACATTTTCCAAAGTATCCTGAAATAACTTCTCCACCTCAGTTCTCCTCCTCAGTTTCTCCGGACAGTCCAAAATTTTTTCCACTTGGCACGTTCCCAGAAGATAAAAAGCTGAAACTGCGCTCCATAGTATTCCTTCCAGATTTTGGTGTGAGCTATGCATGTTTCATTTAGTTGAACTGGCATGCAAAAATAACAAAATACAAAACTACGTATACTTTCGATGAAGGGAAATGCATACTTTTTCTACTGGACGGCATTCTTTCCGAGTCACCCAAAAAGCTTTCAGTTCATTTCTTTTTTCTGATCTTCCCTCATTTAGTACACACTGCCTTAGAGAGCACACAAGTCATCTTTTCCTGTTTGTTTTGCTGACCAGATAGGGTGATTTTTTTATTCCCTTACATAGTTCTTTACCGGAGACGGAAACTTTTAAGCTAGATCAAAACAAGTGATTTAGCAAATGCTAGTTTAACTGTAGGAAGATGTAAAAAAAATCTGTTTATCCAAGAGAATTTTTTAAAATTTTGTTTTGTAGTACGTATACAATCCAGAAAATTTATGTTTTCAAAAAGAACATTTTCTGCAACAAATGAATTGACCTCTTGGTAAAGGAATATCACTAAGCCTAGTGCAAATGTAGAAGGGAAACTGCCGATTTATAGCCCCAAGATATCAATTTAATACTAAGAATGTAAGACAAAACCAACACTTAATTAACCCATGTATATACCTCTTTACCTATCATTTGCCAACCGGGAAGGGACTAAGGGAATATTTAATTATTAAAGGTTGTCTCAGGCAATGTCTAAATTAAACATTGCATCTTCAAGTAATTTATCACAAAATGGTCAAAGTCCTGCAAAGAAGCAGAGATTGTGGCTAAAAAACAATCAATAACACTTACAGAACTACCAAACTAGAGAGGTTTCCAAAAGCATAGTCTGGTATGTAATGAATTTTATTCAGTGCCAATGTCATTGCCTGAAGTGCTGGTAAACTTCTAAAAGCTTGGACGGGAATTTCTGTCAAAGAATTATCGTCTAGCCACAGGTGTCTAAGGGAGACCAAGCCATTGAAGCAGTTGGGGGGCACATAGTTGATGTGGTTGGCATCCAGACGTCTAGGAGAAAAAGAAATAGAGAAAATTGACTCTGAGAAAAGAACAGTGGACTTACACAATGGATATCAGAAGTTATCACCAAGAACACAACCCCGAAGGATGGACATGGGTTGCCACATCCATTTTTCATTTCCTGGAGACTCTAAATTTCCATCTTGTTTGCAACCTCACCCCTGAGACCTCACATCGTGTTTACAAGTCTCCTTGTTAGCTGGCTCTCCGCAAACAGCTCTCCTTTGGAGCCATCAACTCACTGAGAACACACACTTATAACTTTTGAGCAAAGCCTCTCTACAGACCAGGTATGAATTTGTTTCCTTTCCCAATTATTTGAAAGTATGGAATAAAGAAGTGTATGAAACTCAGCCAGAGATTCTCTTTCAGAACCTATAAATCACTGAGCTGCAAACTAATTTGGGTTTCTATACACTAGACACCCATTCTAAGAGCCACAAATAAAACACACTTCTGAGTCTCTGTTCCCATTTTACCTTTTCTTTCATATTTTTATTCCAATGATTCTAATGAGCACTGAAGTTCACATTTTTTAGTAGTGGAGCAAAATTTTTTTAAAATAGAGATTAGTGTTACTAATGTGATATATTTATTTTGAAAAGGAAGTTATTAAATACACTTCAGTTGCTGCAGAGCCAACAGAGTGAGCTCAACTGCACATCGTGCCTCTTCAGAGCCTGCAGGTGATACCTTGCTCTCACACTTCTGTAAATAAGGATTAAATCTACTGAACCTTTTGCAGATGTGGCGCTAGAAATATTATGTCATATACTCATTGGCTTTCGCTTTCTTTTGCTTTCCCACTGTGATGCTTTCAGGGAAATATTTAAAAGTGTGCTTCAGATTTCTGAAACTTTGTGAAACATCCAGACGCTGATCTGTACTCCAATACACTTTTTCTGCTTTTAATGTGTTGTAGTGACTTGTACCTTGTTCGGAACATGAAAGCCACACTCTAAAATTTTTCTTGAAGATGTCTGTAAGGAGGAGTAATTAAGTGAATGGTGAAACAGAAATAAATTTAAATAGATGTTTGAAAACATTACAGAACAAACAGACACACCCAGGGTACAAAGAAGTAATTCTGAACAACCTAAATTCGGTCTGTTTGAGAGAAATGCAATACTCTTTGTGGCGGGCATACTAATCTCTTTATTTAAAGCTGCTTCTTCATTTACAGTCACGTAAAATGTCAGGTCCATTCTATCTCCTGCTCCATGCTGCTCCTACCTATTGCACGAGAACAAATAATGACTGCTAAGGCTCCATGCCAGGCTGGCAAATAACTGAGACAAGGTCAGTTGGAACAAATTTATAAAGTTCAGTGTCAAAGCCCTTGTACAATTAAATTTTCAATATAATAACTGACATGGCAGGCAGCAGAGACAGAGCTTCCAAAATAACTCAAGGGTCTGTCAACAAATGGGTGAGGCTGGAAATGTTTAGAAATACTCATGCTGTACCTCCCCCATACCCCAGGCAACAACCATGCTACACCTGTGTTTTCAAATAAGGTATAATTTGAATGAGTAGATGAGGTTTCTTTGTGTTCACTCAGAAGTAAATTTCTTCCCTGGGTGATGCTGGTATGTAAACTAAGAAGTTACAGTTGCCTTAGTTTGACAGTTACACTGATTAAAGAATGGAGGCTCTATTCAACCTAAATGTGTTACTGTATTACAGTTAACATCTTGTTCAATATGAAGCTTGCCTGTGCAGCTCTGACGTCCTCATTAACTCCACAGGAGTTACTCACAGGATGCCTGGCTGCGTGGCAAAGCCAACAGTCAGTTGTTTATATGCGTCCCTGTAGCTGAAACGGCAATACTTCTGCTGCCGTCAGTGAGACCAGGATTTTTACCTTACCAGTATTTGGTAGCAAATCAAGGAACTGATTTTGTTTATAGCTGATGTTGCCACATATAAACCCACCACTGGCTATGTAAACAAAATACGCAACATAGAAAGAAAAACAGGACTGCTATAATATAAATGAGATTCTAGGTAGTTGGATTATTGTTTAAATAAACTTCGGAAGAAATCAAGAAGCTACGATGATTTGTGCTGCAGGTCCTATAACTGGATTATGTATCCTGCAAGTGCTTGTAAGAAGTATTGCCTTAAGTGCTCTTTTGTTATCTAATCTTTTTAAAATTTCCAAGTACCGTTTTCCTCTTGCAGATAAAGGTTTCAGCAGTGGTTATGTTTCCTGTTGTACCATAGGTAATGCACACTGATGTAAAAAGCATTGATCAAAATCGCTGTTTCCAGCCAATTATTTTACATGGGTTGATCAAAGTTTTGGCACTTCCAGAACTAAACCCATTAACTCACAAACATGACTCTATTTATAATTGAAAATATATAGATAACATGGTGAGTTTGAAAGCTGCTATTATATTACAGAGAGAGCCAGTTTAAGGAAACAGAAATACTTGATCTCTTCTGATAGGCAGCATGTAAATAAAGCAGCCAGTATGAAATTCACCATGAGCTCACTTAAAATGTCCAAACCTTTCAAAGTAAATGCTTGAGCTATGTGGACTGTATCCCACTGGTGTTTCCCGTAACATACTGTGAATGCTACAACCACGTGTACAAATTATGAAAAGATATTATTCATATGGATTCGTAAATAGGACTAATTTATTGGAACTCTGGAATGACTGAAGGTAGATGTTTGAAAAATACTTGATTTGGATTTTTTTTATCATTCCAATACAACTGGATACTTAAGTTTTATGCCACCTGTAAGTTTCTAAGGGAATATATATTTTTCTCCTCTTTCTGAGTCTTCTCTCAAGAGCAAGCCCAGCTACAACCTGGATGTACCTTGTGATCAAGAAATTCCTTAATGTCTTGTTGGCGTGTCTTGCTCATTCATTCAGGGTTAAATCAAACGCTAGATATGGGATCAGGAAGGAGATTTCTCCCAGGTCATTCTCCCCTCTGAAATAAACAGCTATTACATGGATTGCCTCTTCTTGCAATGGATGAGGGCCTGAATACAACAAAGGGACTGGAGAAGAGCAAAGCCACAAAGACAGATAAAGAAGTCAAGGACAAAATATTTCTTCCGACATTTCAGTTTAAAATAGGAGAGGTAAAACCAAATGAAAAGGGTGGGGCTATATGTACCAGGCAGGGGAGGCGGAGAAGTGAGAGCACATGGCAGATTAAAGACTGCTCCTCCCTTTCCCACCACCTTGCTCCCCTCCTGACCTGGCTCTCTTATGCAGGGAGCCACAGACAAGCCCCTCCACCAGGAACAGAGCAATGATGGACAGAGGTTGCGGGCACAGCCTCTCTGGGGAGGGTATAACAGGCAGGAGGGGGTCACCTGTAGCCCCACCATCTTTGCTAGTATGTGGTGGCATGAACCCTCTCAAGGGTTTGTTCACACGAGTTGGGCTAAAGCCCCATTTAAGTAATGGCAAGTGACATCAAAACTGGCTCTGAAAAGTGGATGTAATGAAAATATAGCTGGCTATTGTGAGACATGTTTTTCAAACATGGCCCTTTACGCAGGATATCCCCTTCAGTCCACAGGGGAAAATGCTAGGACTATTGTAAAAGCTTAATTACAACACACCAGCACAGCAGTTCCCACAGATCACTTTCAGCTCTGCCCTTGTATGGGCTTCTACAAGACTGATACAGAGAACCCTGTGCGGCAACAGCAAGACCAAAAAAGAAAAGTCACGAGTCACAGTTTAGGAGCGTTTGTTTCTGTCCCACTGCTCAGTTTTACATGGGGAGGTCTCTGCAGCTCTGGGAGTTTCAATCCTTAGCATTTCTCTTCGTAGACAAACATGCTGCTCGGGTGTTTTGGTAAACCTGCATTCAAGACGGTGGGCCAGGATGCTAGCCCACTGCATAAAGCACAAACAGCCAGCTGCAATGCTGTTTTTATACAAAGACTGGCTTTGATACCGGGTACCCTCAATCCCCACAGGTGGGAAAAAGTGGGGATCAGCAGGAGCTTTTGGGTTATCCTAGGAATCTGCCTGCAGATTCAGATCAGGAGTCCACAGCTAGACCGGCATATTTGGTGTGGCTGGGAGCGCTCCCAGGTCCCGCAGCCAACTGGCTAGGAGTGGCTGGCACTATGCTAGTGACCTCTCCTAGCTTCCCAAACCAGGTGGCTGCACGCAGAGGGCCTATTGGGGGTGGTCCCAGGGGCGTGGAAGCTGCCAGGTGGCCCCAGGGAACAGTTCAGGCAAACGTTAGCTGGCACGGGTCAAAAGTGTGCCGAGGACCCTGTTAACAGTGCAGCAGGACAGACGGTCACGGCCAGTGCCTGGGAGCACTCCGAAGCACTGTTTGCTTTGCTAGGCTGGCCGTAGCAAGTCTGTGGCTGTATGGTGCCCAGGAGGATCTCCCCAGAAATCTAGTGTGAGCCCCCACACTGCTAACCACTCCAACAGCGGCTTCCTGTCTTCCTCCCGCATATGGTGTACGACCTGGTGGCCTTCAGCCATGCAGGATGATTTTTGGCTAGAAGTTCTGAGGTTGAGAAATTTGTCTGTCCCTTGCAAATGTGATTAAAAAAAACCCACTCTTTTGAGATTGCTCACAAGAGTCAGATGCTTAGTAGCTTCTACTGGATGAAAGAAAACACCACCCAGTGGCCTGGAATTGCTGATCTAGTTCAGCCTATTTGCACCCCACTTTGAAAGTAACTGGCCCTACAACTGGTTGAGTTAGGGACTGCGCCCTAACTAAAATAGTAGTGCACACGTTTTAGGGAACCTTGCACCTCTGTCTTCCTCCCAGCTGCTTATCAAGCTAGAAAAGTGTCTGTGACTGAGAGGGGTGGTCTGATATTGTATTAGTTCTCCATGTTTCAATCACTATTCTGTTACCTAGTGCGCCCCAGGGCTCTAGCAGCTCGGATGGTTAAGGTATGCAATAAAATGAGGAGACTGCAATGGTGAGTTTTGAGACATCTTTGCGTATGCGCACAGACACCTGCATGGGTACAC